CTGCAACGGTTGCCCGTTCACCTGCCCAGTCTACTGAAGTGCCCACCAAACTGTGCAAGATGTACAAAACAAAATTGGATGATTGGACAGGGCCTCAATTTCCGGGAAAACACACACACACACAAAAAAAAAAAAGTGGCGGTGTATATTTCCATGTTCTAGCGGAAAATTCATTCCGATTTTGCTCATCCTATCGATGGAAGTAGCCTCTCTCTAAAGGCTGGAAAGCGGTGTCTATTTCCATATTCTAGTGGAAGATTCATTACGATTTCGCTCATCGTATCGATGGAAGTAGCCTCTCTCTATCCCTCTGCGTGCATGGCTGGAAAACTCTCTCTCTCTCTCTCTCTCTCTCTCTCTCTCTCTCTCTCACACACACACACACACACACACACACACACACACACACACACACACACAGCATGTTCTGCCTGAAGATTCACTCCGATTTTGCTTATCCTATGCACACACACACAGATCGCCATTGCCACGCTTCACCAAATGAGCAAAATGGCATTGAATCTTCCCCTAGAGTATCTACATGGAAATATACACTGCCAAAAACCGAAAATGTGGCAGTGTATATTTCCATGTTCTACTAACAGATTCATTCCCATTTTGCTCATCCTATGCATGGAAAACACTGTCTGTCTGTCTGTCTCTCTCTCTCTCTGGTGCACGCACGGCGTCATTTGCATCTGCAGCTCTTTAGTCCGTACTCACACTGGGAGTTCTTTTGAATGTATGTCCATCGCGGGATATCTTCCTATGTTCTTGCGGACGATTCCTTCTCATTTTGCACATTGGCAGGCTGCTCAGTTTATGCACACATGAAACTGTTGAATTGCACACGTGAGTTCGAATCCAGCGGCGACCACAATAAAATAGTTCTGATTTACAAAGGATCCAACGGCATGCTGATGCCTTGGCCGATGTCCCCCCGAATGCTGTGCGTCCCTCATGTTCTAAAACAAACACCTGCAATAACCCATGTGGTATGCCTCGTGGAAACTGAGGGCCTCGCCAGGCCACACGCAGATCCAGGCCCGAGGCATCGAGCAACTGGACACTGTGGTAGCGCCAGTTCGTTTCGGTTACAGCGGAGCAGTAACGCTGCGCTATTTTCAGCGCAAGCTCGGAGGTGCCGCAGCAGCGCAGCTAGCGCAGCAGCAGCAGCCATAGCCGACTTCGGCTTCAGTCAGTTGCAGCAGGCCAGGTACTCGGGGGTGAGGTCTTGTCCTCCCTCCACGGTCCCTGGCTCCCCTTCTCCTCACCTCTCTCCTCCTCTGTTCCCTTCTTCCTCTTCTTCTTCTTCGTCTTCAGACTTCTTCTTCTTCTTCTTCAGACCTCGTCTTCTTCTTCAGATTGGAGACTTGATACTAGTTGGACAGAGATCAGTGTTGGACTTCGGTGGTAAGAGGCTGTGGTACTTACCGGATTCGAGACTTGGAGATTGTTGGGCTTGATACTCGGCGACATCACAGATTGGAACCGGTTACATTAGGACTCTGTACCTCCGACATTGGTGACTTGTTGTCCACGACATTTTGATCTTGTTCGATGACATTTTGGACTACCATATCGGTGACCTACTGGATTCTATCTCGGTGGCATCTGGTGCTGCCTACATCTCCCACCTCCTTCGTCTCTCCTCCCACCTTTCATCTGTGTATGGTTGTACGGGGCCTGAGCATCGTCTATGATTGGCTCAGACCCCACCATCTCACGATTGTTTGTGTGTTGAGTGATATCTGTATGAGTCCGTCCATGTGAGTCAGTCCATTTATCAGACTTCCGCTGCATACATGCTCATCCTATATTGGTTGATCTCTTGGTTCTGCCCATACTTGTTGAAGTACTCACAAGTATGCAACAAGTGGCAGCGCCACATCAGCATGCAATGTAGACCAGAGGCAGCGCCACACGAGCATGCAATGTAGACCCGAGGCAGCGCCCCATCAGCATGCAATGTAGACCCTAGGCAGCGCCACGTCAGCATGCAATGTAGACCAGAGGCAGCACCACGTCAGCATTCAATGTAGACCAGAGGCAGCGCCACCTCAGCATGCCTGGGCACAATGCAGAAAGTGCCAGCATGCTGTCGTCATCGCCCACAGTGCCAGCGTCTAGCCAGCGTCTCGCCGGCGTCTGGTCGAAGTCAAGCCAGCGTCCAAGCAGCATAGAAAGACTGAATGCTTGACCCACTCGAGGCCAGCCTTAAGTACCATTTGTCGAGGCTGTCTGGCCTCGGTTGCCTTTTCCACAGTCGTCCAGATTGCCTCACAGCCGAGGGCCTGGATAGTACAGTTGCAGACTTCCCCCTTGGACCTGATGCCGTCTGAGTACCTGCATACAAACAAACGTGTGTGTCCGACCAGCGGTCTGGGCTGGGTACACTTTGACTGTTGGAATTTCCGATAGTTGACTTTTGTCAACTGTGCTTCGTCCATGCCCTGAATCTCTTACTGGGGTGAGGCCGGCCGGTACTAAGTACCGGTGGGGCAGAGGCCGGCCTCAATGCTGCGAGGCCTGGCCGTGATCTGAACCGTCAAGATCGACGATTCAGATCGGATCGGCGGGCGGCAGCCTCAAAAGCGCCGCCAGGCCCAAAACGAGAATATTGTTTGGGCCTGTCTGTCGGTCTGGTCCGAAATGTGGCCTTTCGGCCTGCTGTACCCCCAAGTCTGGGCCTTTAGGCCCTACTGTGTCCCCTCGGCCCTATGTCGGGTCCGCTGAGGCCCGTGTGGCGTCGAAGATGTAACACACTCCCCCTCTTAAAAGACCAAGCTACTTGCGAGGGCGGAGTTGTCTGTCCGATCGGGGTGGGTCGGGCGGGACGACCTGCTTTTTTGGCAAGTCGTCGCTTCTCATAGTTGGCGAAGATAAGGGGTGCAGAAGTCTGCAAGTCTGCGTGAGAGATCCACCGAGTGTCGTTAGGCGCACATTACTTGAATGTGACTTTGAACTGCATTGGCTTGTTGCCATACTTGCGGTGTGTGATGACTCGGTCGACTTCCTGATGTCCGTCCATAGAAGGCGGATCCTGTGATCGTCGGCCCGGAAACTCGTCAGCGGAAGGTGGCGTGTAGATGGTCATCTTCGACGCGTGGAAGACCCGGTGCACTGGAAGGTGTGGTGGAATGTTGACCACAAAGGAAGGACCTGCGGAGTCGTCTCCAACGGCAGAAGTAATTTCCAATGGTCCGAACCATTTCGGAAGGAGTTGCGCGAAACGTCCTGCTCGAGCGCAAATTCCTCGGAGAGGACCCAAACAAGGTCTCCCTCGCGGAAAGGACATGGGAGTCGACGTCGGTTCGCTTGCTGCTGCATGCGGATTTGAGCCTTTTGCATATTTGCGCGGGCTTTGATCAGCAAGTCCCGGTACTTCCGGACGGAAGCGGGAGAGCAAGGGACGTCTATGTCGGCGGCTTGTGGTAGAAGGAGATCAGCGAAGATCCGTGCTTTCTCTCCACCATGATGTAACTCGAATGGTGTGACACAGATCGCCGGGTGCACCGAAGTGTTATAGGCGAACTTAATGTCGGGAAGCCGGTCAACCCAATCTTTCTGGTCGGGACGGATGAGCGTACGCAACATCATCTGAGCGGTCTGGTGCGCTCGCTCCGTCAGGCCATCCGTCCGCGGCTGCCGAGCCGAGCTCGGCTTCATTGTCGTACCGAACTCGGCCATAAGGGAAGTCCAAAAGGCCGACATGAAGCGAGTATCTCGATCGCTCACTATGTCTTCCGGAACACCCTGGTTGGTAATCCAACCGGTGTGCAAGAGTCGTGCGAGCTCAGGCGCTACAACATGATACTTGCAAGGAAGAAAACGAGCATACTTGCTCAAACTGTCAACGACCGTGAGAATACCGTCATAGCTGAGGCGATCGCGGGGGAACGGGCCTGTAACGTCCATAGCAATGGAGAGGCGCGGTGCTCGAGGAATCGGCAACGGTTTCAACTCGCCGAAGGGGACTCGGGATCGACCCTTGTTACGGTGGCAAACTGCATATGACTCAATGTACCTCGTGACGTCGTGAAGGACGTCGGGCCAGTGAAAACGCTGGCGGAGGCGTGCTAATGTGCGGGTCACGCCAAGGTGTGCCGAAAGTCGTGCGTCGTGGAATTCGCCGAGAAGACGAGTCCGTAAGATGCGATCTTGGGGCACAACTAACAAGTCCTTTCCTCTTGTGTGAAGGAGAAGGAACCCGTCGGAAATCCGATAATGGCTAGCCGGCGGGTGATCCGATGAAAGCTCTGCGTAAAGCGTAGAGTAAGTCGGAAAGGACTTGTAGCCTTTGACGAAATGCGGCTGCAGATCGTCATCGAGGTCGAATGTCATGGTCACAATGGCACAAAAATCGTGCTGTCGTGAGAGGGCGTCCGCAGCTCGATTGGCGGGGCCGGGAATGTGGCATGGGTCAAAGTTGAAGTGGTCGATGTAATACATCCATCGACCAATCGTGCTAGTGACCGTATCCTGCACTTTATAAAAGGTCAACGGATTGTTGTCCGTATTCCATTTAAAACGCCGACGACCGAGAAGAAAGTGGCGCCACCGTTTGAGAACATTGACGAACGCAAGTAGCTCTTTCTTTCTAGCGTCGTCGAGAGTGTTGACGAGAGGCGCCTTTTGGGAGAAATACTCGACCGGGTGCCAACCGTCCTCGTGACATTGTTCCAACACCGCACCAATACCGTATCCCGAAGTGCCCATAGTCACTTGGCTGGGAAGGGTGGGGTCGTATATACGGAGGGCAGGTGCGGCTTGCATTGCTGCCTTCAACGTTGTGAGGAAACCCGGGGAGGAGCTACCTACCGTTCGCTAAAGCCATGGGCTACGRCGCCTGTCACTTCGCCGCGCCCGCTTCCGAGGTCCTCAGCGACCAGCAGGGTTATCCCATTCAGCAAGGTCACTCTTGGTCCTTAACCACAGGCCATTTTAAGATCTTTTCCCTTGCGAAAATTTCACAGTAATCTCGGTCGGAATTGATCCCTCCGTGTCACGCAGGAATGTTCAATCCTCTTTCCGTTCTCTTCGGATCAGCTCACCTCCGCGCAATCAGAAGAGCGGGGAAGCCGCCAAAGAGGGAACGTTAGTTTTCATTTGGCAGAAAGCAAGGGGCCAATCAGGGCTCTTTTCAATGACTTCTCGAAAACGACATTTCCC